TCACAAAGAGCTGGAAGAGCTGGGGGGGTAAGACCGAACCGGAGAAAAAGAGCATCACGCCATTCTTGAGCAGAGAGGTGAGTGCGTTTGGCAATATCGGGCATGAGCTAGCCAGTAGACTAATCAACAACATGCACTAATCCTGATATTGGTTGCTGCCAGCTAGATATTAATAGGGCAACTCGGTGCAGAATCTAAAGAGTCTTAGATCTGCAGTGAAAGGGTGCTTTAGAGCACCAGAATTCTTGTATGAAAATATCACGGAAGCCGGCTCGTAATACTTCGTTCAATATTATGAAGAGGACGGAGCAACATGGAAACCATAGTTGGATAGTCACCAATTTTGTCTCGTCTCGTCCTTGGCAACCACGGCTCTATCAAGTGGTTCTCCTCATTTTTGGTGCTCTTTTTGCAGCTGCAAATGTACTGTTTCTCCTCAACAACAAGAAAGATCCATCCGCAAAAACATTCATTGCTTCAAACCAAGCACACACTTCACAGAGATATCCCTTTGTTCCGTCCGATCTCAGTATTCAATGTGGCCTAGCAGAGCATGTCAATTTGGAAACCTTGCCAGAACAGCCACTTACTAAATCACTTGGATTTGTCAAACCTCACAAGGTTGGAGGCTCTACTGTTGCAAACATTGTCAATCAGATCGTTTGGGGACGCAACATGACCAAAATGATTCCTTCCGGATACATCAATTTGGGATTTCCGGCTCCTTTTCCGGGAGATTACAAACGGATGAAGCAAGTCAATAATAATAATAATGAGACAACGGGAACCTACAGATTTGATGCCATGTCCAATCATGCTGTTTTCAATGCAGATGCATTTCGGACGTACCTCAAAGAGCCAATGCTGAGCTTTACAATCGTGAGGGACCCCTTGGAGCGAGCCATCAGTGCCTTTAATTACATTCCTCCCTATAGCTATGGAAACTATTCATGGCAGCATTTCATCAGAACGTACAAGAACATCACACACATCAAAACACGCGATGACGCAAAGCATGTGAACCCAATGGCCCATGCCTTGGGATGATATCATTCACGACCACCAATTCTCATCAGTGGCAACAACAGCAACAGCAATACTCCAATGAAAGGGATGATGTGGACCAAAGCATTTGATCACAATGAATCGGCTATTAGATAATTCATCCAGAAAGTGGATATTGAAATGGATCTGGTCATGATTCTTGATCACTTGACAGAGAGCTTGCTGTTACTGAGAGATGAATTGTTGCCTGAGGAGCTGGAAGTAACAGAACTACTTTGGTCTAATTTCAAAGTGAGCAACAACAACAGATTATTGAGCAACAAAAAGATCTACCCAACGGAAGCAGAACGACAAGAGCTGTCCTACATGAATTCTGTGGATCAGATGCCATATGACCATTTTCGGGACAAGCTATAAGCTCGATGGGAGGCCAAAGTGGAGCAAGCACCAGAAGAAACCCGTCAACTAAAGAATGGACTCAATTGTCTTTATGAGACTGTCACACAATTTCTCTCCACCGAGAGCAATCGACTCCCAAAGCCCATTCAGATAGGCTTATCCCAAGATTCTCCTGTCTTTACAGAGTTGCAGTGGACCAAGCAAGAAAGGGACAACAATTGACAGTGTTGGCACCTTGATAGCTAGCTGATGATCTGTTTGAGTTAGTTGTCCTTGGATGTTCCGATCTCGTGACTCTATGATCAATGTCCACCCAGGCAGATCACGTAGAATCATGGGGGGGGGGGATTCCAAACAGCCGTTCGACTGAGTCTATGCATAAATGGCATTGTCTCTTCCTGTCTAGCTAGCTAGCTAGCTAGCTAGCTAGCTAGTAGAACAAGCAGGGATGGTACTACTAGCTAGAGTAAACTGACAAATGAGGATGGTACTCCCGCAACTCCATCGTGAGTTCCGATCTCTCTCTCTCTCTTCCACTGTACCGGTACTGGTGCAATAATTGATCTTTAACAAAATATGAAATAAATAGAGACTACTTAGAAGACTTGCTTATAAATCACTACTCCAGCACTCTAGCTGGCTAGTTCCTCGAAAAAACGTGCGGATAACCAGCCGCTCCGCAGGTTTATCCGCACTTCGCGGATGGACAGAGGCACATTGCCACCTCTCATCGTCCGCAACCGAATAGAGCCACCATGGCCATCAGCGCATGCTCCAGCGGCACCAAATGGCCACAGTAGTCACATTAGGCATTGTGTTGATATAAGCAGTCGATTATAGTAGCTGATTGTTATGGTTTTCATGCATATACTGTTGTTGTTTGTGATTTTCGAGAGGACATCGCGGATGGACTTGGATATCAAGATAATAGACTTCAATTCGAGCAATAGACACTCTGACAGACTCTCCAGCACCTGATCAATAGCCCTTTAATAGCCCTTTAATAGCCCTTCTGGTGGCAATCGTCGCGATGGATTTCAAGGCAGGTTTTGGTGTTGTTGATTAAGCCACGTCGAGGGATCCTTTGTCGAATTCCAGCTCTGTTGCCACAGATTGGAGTGCCCAAGTAGCGCTCTTCTTTGTAGTGGACCATCTCTTTCTTGCAGCGGCTGTTGGAGCACTCGTTCCTTGTGTCCTTTCCACAGACAACACATCGACGCTTGGCTGGTTGATTGGAGCCATCTTGCTCTCTCTGTTTCATTGGATCATGATACTGATGTTTCTTACGACCAAAATCGAAGGCTGCTGCTGTTCCAACACTCAATGGTGAAGGTTCGACGCCTCCGCACATACTTACAGTCATTGTTTCCATTCGGCTAGCCAATCGATTGACTCCCCCCAACAGCGTACTCGGCATACTCCCAAGGCGGCTGGATAGCTCGGAATCAGTGTCGGCAAGTCCATCAGCCGCAATATCTTCCTTACCAGAGACCGGAGCTCCGCTGTTGAAGCTGTTGTTGTAACAATCGAAAGCGAGACGGTCAACAAAGTCTTCGACTGAGATGCTCTTGAACTGTGGAAGCCGAAACTTCAAAGCCTTCCAAGCATCGACAACAGTGATGCCAATGATGGTAGAGACAATTCGAAACCAAGGGTTAGTTGTCTTCCAATACTTCTCCAATCCGAGGACTGACTGTCGGGCATGGTTGTGCATGTCAATCACATTGCTGGCTCCAAAGTACAGTGAGAGCGCCTCAGGCCTCTTGACAGATCTCTCATGCACATTTCCGAAGGGATCGGGAAACTTGGCCTTGTAAGGCTTTCCAAGCAGCGTGGAAGCAGCATTCTTCGTCGCCACAAAGCAGAGAGCTTTCCTCGAATTGTACTTGTATCCGATGGCAACAAGCTCGATGTTTGTCTCTGGTGTGGTGCATGTCATAACAAGATGAGAGCCACTTGGCCAAGACTTCATCTTTTCTTCAATATGTTTCTTTGGGAACAGCCCATGAGCTGTTTTGATCGCGGCAATCAACTCATGGCCTCCATTGCCACCGACACGGCTGGATCCGATTGTGCATCCCTGGAATGAGCGGTAGTCTTTCAAAGAAGTCTCATCTGCTGGCTCAAGTTTCCGTAGAAGCTTAAATGACTCGGCCAGACGGACACTTCCAAACCAAGAGTCTCCGAGGACAAGATGTCTCTGATTATTCTCCGCCATTGTCTGCCTTTCTTTTGTTGCGAGACCACAGTTAAAGCTCCCAAGGGAAAGACGAAGGGAACATGCTGCTTGCGATCCGACCTGAGAAGTGAACGGCAGCAGTCTCATGGGCTGGGCTCCACGCTGGATCTCCAGATACAACATGATCCCAGTAATTGCGCATGCTGCACATTTGAATTCAGTTCCAAGAGGCTTGGGCTTTCGAAAGATAAAAGAAAGGAATGGTAGCAAGGATGTTTTGGTGCTCCGTGGCTGATATGGACTCATGAGCTCATCAAGAACGCGAATAAAGCCAGCCACAATCCACTTTTTCCTGTTGGCGTTGAAGTCTTCCACAAGACCAGCAATTGGATGCCATGGATCAGATTGATTTCTGCCATCATCGAAAGCACTGTGCAGGAACTGCTTGATGGTGCTGAACCGATACCATGACATGACTTTCTTCCCATGTCGCCCAGTAGCCTCATCAAATTTTGTCTGATCGAACTCGATGTTGATGGCTGGGGAAAGACGTCCAGGTGGCTGCTTTGATTGAAAGAGTTTCTCTCCTCCTTTTCTGAGAGGACAAGCAACAAAGATAATCCCCCACACGATCCACCACTCTCGCTCTGTAAGGCCAACAACAACGGAAGGCTGCCGATAGTTAGCGCTTATAAAATAGGATTGCATTGAACCAAAGAATCGAATCCATTGGGCTTACCGGATACAAATCCCACTTTCCTCTGTCTTGCCTTTGTCTCGTTTGACTTATCAATAGCAGCATTCATGTTTTTGAGATGAACTCTCCAGTCTCCGGGCCATAGATGGATAAGTAGCAACAAAAAAGGCGACACGTAGGATGGATCAACAGGTTCATCAGTCTGCTGAAAAGCTTGCTCGAATTTGAAACCAGCCACGCCAACCTTGCGAGCCTCTGGAATTGGATCGTCTGGGATGGACTCCTCCGTTATTTTCCACTCAAAGACCCTCTTATCTTTCACAATCGTTAGTTTCAGAGAAGAGATTCTTGACTCAGCTACATCACTGCCTTCAAACAGGATAGTCCACATTGGTGTAGGATCATCGGGCTCTCTGCAGCTTGCAAGGACGACGCCCTTTCGCTTGCGTCCTGTCTTCTCTTGGACAAACTCTCCAACGTCGATCGATTGCTTTTTGGGAGCCTTCATCTCCACACTCCACTCTTCATCAAGCAGTTGCTGTTTCTCCAGCTCGTATCGCCTCCACTTGGCTTGGTGTTTGTCTTCGTCCACTTCGATTCCACGGGCTGCAACAAAATCAGCGGCATTAAATTGATGCTCTTCGGTTGCACTATCTTCGAATTCAGCGACAAATACAGGGATATCTTCCTCTTGCTCATCGTCTGGACCGATGGATTCCTCATCATCAGATTCCTCAACAGTTGTGACGGTGGGAGCAGGATTTGTTGCCTCGGATGATGTGTCGTTGTCCGACTGACTTTCTTCGACGGTGGTTGTGCCTCGGTCGTTGATTCCAACCTCGATCCCTTCTTCTTCCACTGCATCGTCCAAATCTCGAATGAGTTCAACCTGCTCTTGCGACTCTTGACTTTGATGATCATCTTCATTGTCAGGTGCTTTTGGGGTTGGAAAGTCTTCAGACGCACAAAGTTTTAGCTGCTGCGATTTCAACTCCATGAAAGTTCCAGTCGGCTGTGCTGTTTCAGGATCAATAAGCTCCACTTTCCAAAGCTGCTTCCCCATCGCTTGCAATACAACTCCTGGTAGCTTTTCCTTCTTCACAATGACCTTGGCATCTCTTTTCAGACGCAGTCGTCTTGGTTTGGATGCCACCATCGTGGATGGATTTTCCGGAAAAGAAGAAAGAAAGAGTGTGGATAGATTCGACGATCGATCGTCCTGAAAAGATCTTTCTCTTCCTGCAGCCAAAGGAATGGAAAGAGCAAGCAAGCATTCCCTCAATCAACAGCAATGAAGGCAGCATATCGATCTCGCTTGCACAAACACAGGGGAAACGAGTGTTGAATCCGTGTTGTGAGCCGCGAGGAGCAGCTTTTTGGGTGGGAGTTGACACCGAGACGTCATTTGGCACTGAAAAGATTTAATAATCGATACTAAACTAGGGTTAAAATTATTCTTTGAACTCCCTCCGAAGTCGCGATTGATCCGAGTGCCAATAGAGCACACGCATAATAAACAACCAACAGCAAACAACCAAACAACTAACCAACACGATGGTGAAATACCAGCGCTCAGTTGCGTCCATAGCGGCGATTGTTGTTGCGTCCCGTGGTACGTTTGCTACGGCGAGGGGGAGGGAGTGCATAGGCATCCTGAGAGAATCCACCCACTTCGTCGTATTCGTCACTTGAATCTGAATCATTGAGAAGACTAACTTCTTGCTCTTTTCCTTCCACGAAAGCAACCAGCTGATTATCCCCTTCCGACCCATCTTCTTCCGACTCTTCCGACTCTTCTGACTCTTCTGACTCTTCCGACTCTTCTTCCTCCACTGCCGCCTCCTCCCTGCGGCGCCTGGTAGCTGCCTCCTCCTCGCGCTTGAAGTGGGCCCGAATGCGTTGATCGGTGGTGGTGTCAGAGTCATCTTCTTCGGCAGACGTGTTGGTGAGATCAACGGCAGCAGCAGCCGTGTTGGTGAGATCAACAGCAGATGCAGCCGTATGCCCAGCAGAATTAGCCTCAGTAGCGGTTTGGGTCTCCAAGATGAAGGCTCCGGTGGTATCACGGCGGACTGAGACAAAGATTGGCTCTTCATTTTCATCCATGGCCATGGCGCTGAATTCGAGGGCCGTGATGTTGGCAAAAGGGAGTTCACGAAAGGTAAGACGCATGATGTTTGTTTACTGTTGGCTTGGGTGGTTGCCGGATTGTGAGTGATTGTAGAGGATTTTTGTTGTGGCCGATCGACTCCAACCGGAACTGACAGAAATTTCCTTTTCTGTTGCCGCGGCTTTTGTGTGAAGGAACTCTCTCTGGACCGGATTCCATTAGCTTTGAAAGAGGCATTGGATTGTTCAAACCGATGGAGTAGGCGGGAGATCACTCCGATTTGTCAGCCTCGGTTTACCTCCTCCGTCTCTCCTTTTTTATCTCAAGCTTTCGACTCTGTCACTTTGTTACGCTCACGCTTTTGACTCTCTGTTTTCTACTCTCTTCCCCTTTGACGTCAGGATGTATGCTTCTTTCGACCAAATCCAAACCACAGCCATGGTGCTCAAGAATTGGCTGAACCTTGCTATCTCCACGCTCTACGGATGGGCCAAGAGTTTCCTTCTTGCTGTGGTCTCAGTCGTCCACACGTCTTGTGGCTGGCTGATGGGCTCTCGTGCGGAGTGGAAAACTCTTTTTCACACGGGCAATGACGCAGCTTGTGTTGTCAGAGCTACTACCACCTTTGGATTTGATGAGAGAGTGCAAGTCGCTTCCCTTCGCATTCAACAGCATGGCAGCCACAACCTCTATCGCGTCATGGTGGACGGTGACTTTGTTGTGGATAGGAATGAGGAAGGACCAATCCGTGGAGACTGTGTTGCCGGAGCAATCTATTTGCCTGATGCCTCGCCTTGGTTACCAACTACCAAGAAATGCAAGGGAGAAAACACCAAGAGTCTCCGCGGCAGGAGTTTCATGCTAACTTTTCCTGCCAATGCAGAAGGTTTGGACTCCTTGCAGATCACTTTTATCTACCCCAATGAGTCCAAAATGGAAGCCAAAGAGTACATTGGGATGTTTGAAGCAGTTTGGTCTGCCATGGTCGAGGACAACAACAACAACAAGAAGAAGAACGATGACAAGAGCGATTGAGTGCGAGCATCCTCAGTCCATCCGCACTTTGTACTGTTTTACTATAGGCTGGCAGGCGCGGATGGCAATCCGCAGTTGCATCCGACACCTTTATCCTCAAAAAGTGAGTGGCTCTTACACAACAACCAAAGGCACAATATCAAAAGTGATGGTCTCTACTTGTAGAGTATATATAGTAGATTGAACCACTCCATAGGAACAACCATTGAAATAGGTCTTATTAGTGTGCTGGCGCCCCTAGAAGCAACACGGATTGCGTCCGCAGACTGCCTCCACCAATCCGCATGTTATTTCGAGGAACTAGTAGTATCTTGGGACCTACCTACTATCTACTATAGCCTTGGATCTCTCTCTCCCTCTCGTGCAACCTCGATTGCCTGCAGCTGCATGGAACGGAGGGATAGTTCCTTGCTTCTTTTCTTTGATGATTGGAGTTCCATGAGATTCGATTCCACGGTTGAACCCCACGCTGACACTGATGTATCATAAATGTATCCTTATCTCTAATAAAATATCTTATCACATGTCATGGATCGAGAATTTTACGAGAATTGGTGGAGGAGATGCACGGGAACAGTACAGAGCGTCGTGGTGAACCGGTAGGAACTGGTTTTTTGTCAATGAATCGAATCGTCGAATGGATTCGAATGATTGAATTCTTTCTCAATTGCTATTGCTGCCAGCCACAACCTGGGAAAGAAGTAGAAGGCAAGTCAAGCTAAACTTACGACAGTCTATCTCTCGTGTTATTGTCAAACCAACTAGCCAGCTAGCAGACTTGAAAGAGGAAAGAGAAGTACTAGAGTAGAGTATAGATAGTAAGATGGATGTTGTAATGGAAGTGAGCGATGGAATGGTGGATGTGTCCAACAAGAGCCGAGAAGAAGAAGAAGAGGAAGAGCGACGACGCAAGCGGCAAAAGAAAAAGAAAACCAATCGTCCTCCTCTTTGTACTTTTGTCAACTACCTGGCACCTCCCACTACTACTGTAGCAACCCCTGCAGCTACTAGTAGTGTTCCGAATGTTCCTGCCACTATATCCGAGCCAAGTACGGAACATGCCGAAGATGAGGAGGATGACGACGATGACGTGATGATGAAGGGAGTGATTGTCACGGATCAGAACAGCAACAGCATGGAGACAAGTCCCTTGTCCAACGATCGTCCCGTCCTTGATGATGAGGATTTGACTCCTCCGATTACGATTCCCTCTACTCAGTTGTTTGTTGTTGCCAATAGTAGGAGTGACAACGACGACGACAACGAGTCGGTCGAGACGGTCAATACGTCCAACAAATCCGTCGACGTTTATCTGCGACCGGATGGATCCTTTGATCACATTCCCGCCGCAGAACGATGGAAGAAACCCCCGCCACCGGTTGTCTCCGATATGCTCGAGAAACTCGATGGACTCTATGTGACATCGCGTTGCGAATCGGATGATGAATTGGAAGAACAACCTCGCCCTTTGCCAGAAATTGTCGTCAAGACACGACGGCATCGATTGCCATCGCTGCACAGTCAGTGGAGGACCAAACACAGCAAACGATATTGTTTGGGGTGATATGTACAAAAACGAACGAAACTCACCGCAGCAAACTTGCTTCCGTACTGTTCATCCCTTCATTCATTCTATCATTCCATGCTACACAACACAACCAAAACGAAGCGGAACTGGAACAAAATACGCTCTTTTTGCTCCTTCCAACAAAACACAAAAATGATACACATTCTCTACTACCTACTAGTACACATTAAAAGTTTGTAAGCTACATTATTATTAATTATATGTATAGCACCAATACAATACACCCGCCTACTAGGCCAGGAGGCCGTGTGCTGTGGCTAGCTAGTAATTTCAAACAGAGAAGAGACAACCAGAGCGGATGCCGCCGTACTGGTCCTCAATTTCTTGCCCCTGATCTCACGGAACCTACTAGCTAGTCCTGAATTTCATTTTCGACTCTTGCCTCTTTGCTTCTTGCGGACTACATGTACATGTAGCTAAAGTCGAGTGACAGTCATCGTCAGGGCCCCTCCTGCCACTATTGACTAGCTAGTAGGCAGGTACAGTAAGACTCGAATGTCAATAATGGAAGAAGAATCCCTATTCGTATAGCATGCTGCCAACTTGCTTGCTTCCCATAAATAAGGCAGCCACTTCAGAAAGAAAGCGTCATGATTGTCGTTGTGGCTGGTTTGATGAATACAGTGAGGTGGTTTAATAATGTTAGGTAGGTTGGTTGGTTGCTTGCTTGCTTGATCTCTTTACAAGTCTGCATATTAGTTATGATTGGTTCAGATCCGATCATGTTGATGATCTCTCGTAGACTATCGATAGTAGCAGGGACGAACCATACCGGTAGGCGGAGAGGTCTTTCTTTGCTTTGCATGCAGCAACGAAACAATTTTGTCTTCCATGGATGGTACAATACGCAGGAGCATAGCAGAGTTGGAGAGTGCGATGCCAAGATTATTGGTTGCTGCACGTCAAGCAAAAGCATTCCTTGAGCACTGTTTTTTAATTCATTACTCTACATCATGATAGAAAGATCAAACTTATTAGTCCCTGAAACGCGGCTTATGGTCCTGTGGCTTTCGAATCACACATTTCGAAAAATATTTTCCCCGATCGCCCGAATAGCTCCCCTATTATCTTTTGGGGAGATTATTATTAAAAATGATTCCGAGGTATTGATTGAAATGCCAAGTTTTTGAGTCGTTCAGGGAGATGAAGCAAAATGGAGTGAAAAACAAGAAAACTGCATGGCTTCACACTTCACAGCAGGGATCAATTGTTCGCTGAGCTCGATCGAGCCGCTTTCCTGCCTCCGCCACCGGAAACTCACTCCCGTGGGGTGTTGACGTACTGTACTGTGCCGCTCTGCCGTATTTTGGCAACCCAGACACAACCGGAATCAGCGAAGGGGGTTTTAGATAGCTTATGCCAAGTAGAGTACATGTAGAGGTTTATCTGAAGCTGCTAAGCAAGCTCCCTTTTTACTTCATTTGCGAATGGCTCATAAAATTTCTATCTCATATTTCCAAAGCCAAAAGTTAAAATAATGATCAAGCCAAGTATCTTCCTTGTTGGAGCCTCTCTATCTCAGCTCTTTTTCATTCTCATTTCCCAGACCAGTGGATACATCGTTGACAGCGATGTTAACATCAAGGTCAGGCCCTTCCATCGGAGTCCAATCAAGCAAGCAACTGCACCAACGGCATTGCAGTTGCCATCACCACAAAGATCCAAGGCTGTTGCCCTGGATCCATCACAGTACAATGCAGCACGAATCAAACGAGGTCAACAGTTCTTTCAGGACAATATGGTTGTCATTGCCAATTCATGGGCCCTAATCATTGTTGCAGGCTTTGCGGACACTGAAATGGCTAGTGCCCTTCTTTCTACCAAAGCAACAGACACCGCAGAAAAGGCACAGCAGCGGTACCATCGGACTTTCCGAGACTTGTTGTACTGGCACACTCAAGACTTGTTTGACCCCAGCTCTCCAGCTGTGAGGCAACTTCGGGCTGTCAAATCAATGCACAATCGTGCCGCTGCTTCCATTGCTGCCAAAGCCGACACCAATTCCTCCAAGTGCCCCTTTTCAGCGGCAGCCCGCAACCTTGTCAAATTGACTTGTCATCACACTACTAGCACAAAAGGATCAAACCGAGCAGCATTCATTCAGTCAGTCATGGCAAGAACGCAAGCTTCTTTCGTTGCCATGGCGGTCACAAATCCAAAGGGTCTTGGAATTCATGACCAGGCTGGACTGGAAGACTTTGTTTATTTGTGGTGGGCTCTTGGAAAGGAGCTGGGAATAGAGGACAAATACAATGTGTGCTCCAGCCTTGCCACTGCCAAGAAGTTTGTTGCTGACGAGTACACAATGAACATAGCACCAGCATTGGCAGCTTTGGCTCGGCATCCCACTCAAAGTTTTGAAACCTTGGCAAATGCATATTGTGATGGCATTGACTTGACCCCAGAAAATGTCAAGGTTTTCACAGGACATAGTCCTCAACAAGCTCTCTGGACGGTTGCACGTTTTTTCCCTGGAGGATTCGAAAAGAAGTTTCCACTGACACCCTGGGAACATGCCAAAACGGTCATGGAGCTGGATTCTTTTCGTAGATTGGGGCGCATGCCAGCTGCTGCTAGACGATTGCTCAACAGGTCTGCAAT